GGTAGGCGACGTCTGTGTTTCAATACTAAGTAAAGCCAACGCGAGCACAAATCATATTCACGCAGCATTAAAAATCCGCAGTCGCAAATGGAAAATTTCCTTGGAAGCACTTATTAATGCAAGATGTCAACCAGTTATCGGTAAAAGGGGAATTTTAGTTTTTAACGTCTTCTTGTATCGTAAAATGTCTTCTTACACATAACACTTAAATCCAGTCTCTCTATTCTACTATTTATGTAGTGATAAATTTGTGCCTTCTTTTTTTTTCGTTTGATTCAATTTGAAAATTAGTGATTTTTCAGGAATACAGTTGCACGTCGAAGTAGCGGTGCTGATGATGATGCAAGCAATGCAACAATTGTATTGTCGAATGTTTCGGAGCAATATTCACTCACAAATGAGCCGGCACTATGGCCAGCGGTCTTCTCACTCGCCCATAATTTCTCCGTAAACAGCCAGCATTGATGTTGTGAGATGTATTTTTCTGAAATTTCACAAAAGTCATCAGGATTCGACCAAGTGGTGTTCGCAAACAGCAAGGGACGCCGAGATATTCAAGTGTTATGTTCATGGGCGGGTCCAGGGGCAGGGGAGGGGGAAGGGTTGGCCCCCGTGACGATTGAAGAGTGGATTACGAGTTGACGGGGGAGGGGAGGGGTATGCAGTGACGAAGAGAGAAGGGGAGGTGAGAAACGCCCTGGATCCGCCTATGGTCATCTTGAAATTGTTATTCCAACTTTAATTTGTTAACCTTTTTTCCTTTAACAGCAGCATGTGGGCTCGCTGAAATCAATTGGGAAGTGCTAATTGGCCTCAAAAAGCCGAAAAATCTGTCCTGAAACAATAGGCTGGACAACAAGCCCCCTAAAAAACCTTATTTTAAAGAAAATGAAATATAACTTTTGATAGTCTGAGTATAGTAACTGAAGCAACTTTGAAGTAGGATGGGTAGAAAGGGCAGTGGATGTCCAACAAAGTAGTGATCATTATAAATAGGAATGTCTGCGTTGCGGTAGATGAGGGTTAGTAATGAAAACCTCAGTACCACGAGTGCCTGTGTAGAAAATTTAGGCCAAAAACTTCTTATGAAATCGTAAAAATCTAGAGATGTTAAATTAGCGTAAAGAAAAATGAATGGTCCAGATGAAGCGACCGGATTGGATGGAGTTTTAAAAAGTTTATTGGACCTGTAAGAGATTTGTTAGGTTTATTGAACCCTTATGTAGCGTGTGGACTAATTTATCACCCCAAAAAAGCCAGTGAGCGGCAGAGTTCCCCGAGGAAAACTGGTTTTCCCAACCCAGCAAGCAACTGAGAACACCTGAGGCAAACGCACAGAAAACGATTTGACAA